TATATATATATATGGGCTGGACTAAAGTCACTCATGGGCAGCTTCTGGCCCACAGGCTGCCATTTGAATAGCCCTGCATCAGTAAGGATTTTTTTTACTAGTTAAACGAAATGAAAGAATATTACCAAGCATGGTTCAGARTTACATCTCACCTGTTTTGATGTGTAACATTTTGCACTGCTAAATATATAGCAGGCCTTTTATGTTCTCTCTATCGTTGTGTGGAGCTTTGGGTGTTTCTGTTTGCACATTAAAGATGCTGAGGTTGAAAAGGTGACAATCTCCTGACTTACGCCGTCTCCCAGGTTTAGAACTGACAACAGAATTTGAAATAATTAGCAGTAACTAGTATTTCAGGAAACACTTGGCTCTAAATTCTCTTTTCCAACCTTTTCTCATTATTGCCTTAACTAGGAAAGCACAAGGATCAGTGACCAAACAAAGTGGAGCCTTCTTGATTTACAAAACTGAAAGCGTAACACCAAAACAGAAGGTTAGTAAGGACGAAAAACAAATGGGASTGTCACAATCTTACCACTCCCCACCACAAAGCATCAGCATAGTTTCCAAACTCAGTGACGCCGCTGCTGTTCAGAGTGTCTTTCTCTGCCAGGTAGACAAAATATGATGAGAAGATAAGGCTCAAGAATCCAATGTACAGGGTGGTGATCAGCTCCTGAAATACACACAAATAAACAAATTCAATATTTATAATTTATAACAGATATAATGTTAAAATACATTTTCACTCTTCTTCTGTGAATATCTAAACACACACTTGTGGATATCTGATTTGAGTTGGCTGCTTGTCATCAGATGTGGCTGTTTATAAAATGACATGTGGATTTGAATATTCATGGAAATGTGCTGTGTAGATATGATACTTCGAAGTGTCCTGATCTCTTTGGTGTCTTGAGTCATTTGTGAATTTAAAGCAGAGTTATTTATTTAGCCTGTCATTTTGCAAGAAAAGCAGATTTTGTTTAATTTCTTTGATTTATTTTATTATGTTTAAACTTAAGCCGTTTTCTGGACTATGATTTTTGTGCTCATCCAATCATTCATTTTCTATATCTGCTTTGAGAGGTCTTAGGGACCTTGTTGTCATTGGGTGACTGAGAAGTTCCTAAGTTACCCTACACCATAAGCAAGCTATTATTCACACTCATTTAAAGTTGCTACAGTATGGTCTGTCACTAGGTGGCAAACCACATTATATTTATACTTGTAAGAGTCTCCCAAATGTCTCAAGTATTTTTTTGTGACACTGCTTCTTTTTTGACATTGTTTTTTCTCAAAATAGTCACTAAATTGTTGTTAGCATCTTCCTCCTGTCTACAACCCACCTGAACTTTGCAGCAGGCTTCTCTAACTCATCTCAAGAGCTCTAGAGCTGTAACTTGAGACCTGTGCAGGAGAATGCCTTTAACAAAAAAAATATCAGGCAAAAGTTCCTGAAAAAAAGACATTAACAATACATTTTTTTGGAAAAAGTGTTCCTAATTTTACAATCTCTATTTAAAAAAATAATAATAATAATCAGAAACGTGTGGGCGGCTGTCAAGGTGGGATAAGATGAGCCATGATGAGAAACAAAATAAAGTGCAAAATAAATTAAAAAAAAAGTTTTGCACTGAAAAACTGATATAAAAAGCTGTTCGATGGCCAAATGTGGCCAAAATGGGGCAAGTAGCTCAATAGCTAAATGTTCTTAAAACAGTTCAGAAACATTGTAASTGAAAGTTTTCATCAAATTTGAAAGAAATAAACTAATTGAAAAAAAAAAAAAAACACCAGCTAGTCTGCCAGCAGTCACATCTCAGAAAGATACCACCTTAATCTGACCTTAGTAAAACTCTTACATACACACAAGTGCGTACATGTCAAGTTGTACAGATTGTCTGTAATYACCCAAATTTTCGAATTTATACAAATGTGTAAAAAAAGTCTCACACATTTTTTCCCAAATAGCCCATCTTCAAAAACTTATTTTCTACAAAGCTGGCTTGCAGTGTAAAAGCTGTCTGTTAGTGTAAAGCGCTTTTGGGTCCGGAGGGACTTGAAAAGCGCTCTATAAGTTCAGTACCATTTACCATTTTACCATTTCTCTGCCCTGCAGCCCGCCCTCGCTCACCTGTTTCCTCTTGTGTCTGCTCCAGATGTTTCTTGCTGTCCTGATTGGTTTGTCTTTACATTCTGTATCCTGTCTTCAGTGTTTGTCTGTTCATTGTACTGTCTACACAGTCAGTGAGGTTGTCCTCCATGTTCCTTGTGCTGTTCTCAGAAGTCTG